ATGCAATCCTCTCCTGGACCGGATAGATTTCTACTGTCTGGCGTAGTAGCCTAAGGAGTAGTTTGACTATCCCCGGGGAAAATCGCGATTCCCCGGCCGCGTTTTTTCCCGTTTTTTGCGATTTTTTTAAAGACCGCGTTTTCCACGATTTTCCCGCGTTTTTTGAACTTTTTTGTTGCACTCAGTGTGACACGTACACACAGTGCACTGTTCGGTCAGCAACGTCTCATCGTGGCGGCTTTGTACTCAAATATGACGAGTGCTTACACCAGAGACTTGTAACTGATTGATTTCACTACATACTCACTGAAAATTGCCTCATATCAACTGCAAACTTGCCGCATATCAATAATATTCACCGCATATTTACCGCAAATTCACTGCAAATTATGCCATATTATGCCACGTTTTTTCCCGCGATTTTCCCCGGGGACGGGCAGGTTTGATAGTTTTACCAGGGAGTAGTACAATACCGTATTGTACTACTCCCTGGTTTTTACACGCCATTGCGTGAGTTGTTTCATGCTTGTGCGTTCTCCAAGACTGCACTTTGTGCTCAATGTTCCACACACATTTGTAGCAACTGGAAGTCGTCTCTTGTTATGGTCATTCTCCCGACAGACTTGTAACCAGGGAGTAGTAAAATACAGGGAGGTGACACACCACTTTTAATAATAATATAATAATAATAATAATAATAATGTAAATAGGCGTCGAGGCGACAATAGTTTTAGAATTGCGATCAACAGAACGAGCTGAACCGACATTTTCACACAGGCTTTTATTGTATTCAAAAAACGAATGGATACGAAGGCAGTGAAGAACATGGAAGAAAGAAAAAATGTGATATGGAAGAAATGTAGTATCCCTGCCCGACCAATACGGAAGCAGTACGGAACTAATACGGAGCTTTGCCTGATGTATATTTAGTGTATCTCCGTATGTAAGCGTACGGCGTCTGCTGCATATAAGCGGCTGCGCATTTCTGTTTCGATGAAGATGAGAGATTTTGATAATAACGAGCTATTCAACCTCCAGGTGTGCACCGGAGAGAAAGTCAGTTATTTTGCCGCTTCTTCTTTCACTAATTATTATATCTCAGGTGTGTACCTGAAAGTAGAATAAAAGTAATTGTTGTTGATTTCACCGCGCCTACCACTCGGCTACCCATTACATTGGTGGCAGTGGTGTAGTTTTAAATAAAACAACGTGATTCGACCCCAGACTCCGATGGCTCAACCCGCTACAGCTCCGTGCGACGAATCAAGATGAGAATCATGTTTCTTGCCTTCCTGGGCTTGGCCCTGCTTATTAATATTACTATTAGCCTGCAGCACAGTCAGGGTGCTAGCGTAGATCACCCTTCTCTCCGCACGGCACACACTGGAGACTCCGATGGTGATTCCAAGCGACCCGCTACCTACATGTGTACTACCGGTGGTGATGGCGAAGCTGATGAGAACGACGACATGCAGGCTGCTGACCAAGACAAGGAGGGTATTCCCCATGATCTGCAGCGTTTGATTCTCGCCGGCACGCAGTTGGCAGACGGCCGAACCCTGAGTGACTACAACGTTCAGCAGGAGTCCACTATTCACTTGGTACTTCGTGTCCGTAGTGGGATGCAGATTTTCGTCATCACCCTTCCTGGCTAGACCATCACTCTTTACGTCGCGCAAAGCGATGCTATCGACAATGTGAAGACCACGATTCAAGACGAGGAGGGAGGTCATTTGTCTGACGCCGAGCTAGCCGCTCTGAGTGACCGGTTCAACCAAGATGAAGATAAAACCTGGCTCGCCCTCCGCCATAGCTCCAGCCGCCGCCGTGGTTACTAACGCTGATTTCAGGTATGGCATTTTCTTTCCTGTCTTCCTTCAGTCTCCCTGTTCTTTTCAGTCTTCCTTTATGCGAGTGTGTGAATCCAGTTTAGTTTGGTAGGCGTCTGATCATGGTGAGCCACGGCTTACCCAGCTAACGTGAGACAATGTGTGTGACAACGCCCCTTATAGGTATAGTGTATTCAGTTCGGTTTTTGACCTGCGATGATCCTGGCGGGTTGTGCCAGCATTGTGCAGCAAGAGTGCTGTGGTTTTTCAGGTCCTATTTGGAGGACAGTTCTTTCCCCTTTTGACCCCGTGAGATCGTGTGAACCTGGTGTGCTTCTACTTTATGATTTGTTATCAGTTCATTTCTTCTGTCTACTCTAAACGTTATCATTTCCGATATAATTTGCCATCTTCCGGTTGACGCTGTGTTCGTAACTCTTCACTATTTTTTTGAAAATCACGAGGGCGTGATAATCTGTAGGAAGGGAGGGTGAAGTATCCCTGCCCGACCAATACGGAAGCAGTACGGAACTAATACGGAGCTTTGCCTGATGTATATTTAGTGTATCTCCGTATGTAAGCGTACGGCGTCTGCTGCATATAAGCGGCTGCGCATTTCTGTTTTGATGAAGATGAGAGATTTTGATAATTACGAGCTATTCAACCTCCAGGTGTGCACCGGAGAGAAAGTCAGTTATTTTGCCGCTTCTTCTTTCACTAATAATTATATCTCAGGTGTGTACCTGAAAGTAGAATAAAAGTAATTGCTGTTGATTTCACCGCGCCTACCACTCGGCTACCCATTACAGAAATGAGGAACAAAAAATTGTACTTCGAACTAGGCCAGTGAGTCCAGTGATTCCGGTGAGTGTGAGAGCGAGAATGATTGTGTGAGTAAGAGTGGGTGCGAGCGTGTGTTTTCTAGTAGGAAGTCATCAGTGTATAAGCATCTTGCATCTCGTCCTGATTGCTGTAAGGTTTATTCTGATTCTTCTTTTTCTGTTTTGTGCCGTGCTCGTCATGGTTATAAGTTGCTGTTGAGTGTGTTAGAAGCCGTTTGTCAACGTATTCATAAGCCTAATCTGTGTGTCCAGAAGGTCAGCATCATTCGTTTGAAATTGTTTTAGTAGCAACTTGTTCTATCTGTTTGGCTCTGGTTGGCCATGGTGTCATATCTTGTGTCACAGTGTACTAGTAGTCCTTACAAGTTCGTTAAGTGCTTTCGCAGTTTTTCCTGTTATTACCTTAGTGCTAGGATTATCACTTTCATAGGTGTTGTTTCTTCTCACTCCATTTCTCTTTATTAGTATCTTTCTGGATTGTTTTTCATTAGTACAACGTAGCTTCCTGAGGAGTGTTGTGCGAAAACTACTTCGAAGTAGTTCGAAGTACAATTTTTTGTTCATCATTTCTTCCATATCACATTTTTTCTTTCTTCCATGTTCTTCACTGCCTTCGTATCCACTCGTTTTTTGAATACAATAAAAGCCTTTGTGAAAATGTCGGTTCAGCTCGTTCTGTTGATCGCAATTCTAAAATAATAATAATAATAATAATAATTTGGAAAGGATTGGGAGAACTTCAAGTTCAAAGGATCAGTCGGGGAAGTGAACTGCCTGAAAAGAGAAAAAAAAACGCCAGACCCACCAGGACTCGAACCTGGGACCCTGCTTGTCATGAGCAATGCTCTAACCACTGAGCTATGGGACCAGGCTGAACCCAGAAGGCGCTGACAAGTTTTTCACTCCAAAGGCAGCCCACAACACGTGCCACACATACTGATGGCACTTGGGTCTTTTTCCCTCCCCCAGTTCACTTCCCCGACTGATCCTTTGAATTTGAAGTTCTCCCAATCCTTTCCAAATTTAAAGGGGAAGTTAAGGCAAAAATTAAAATTTCACCAGTTGTAGTCTTCGGGGTGCTGAGTCGAATGGTCGTGGTCCGAGGAAGCTGAGACGCTCCCTTCCTACTTGAATCCCAATCGAACTCGCGGACTTCCACCGAAACTGGGTGACTGCTCCCTACTAGATGGGGATTTGTATGCAAAATGTCACTAAAAGCGCCATTTCGTTCTTACAAAAGCATGGTTGACCGCGATTGGCCCATATGTTGTAGTCTTTTGGACGCTGAGTCGATTAGTTTTGGTCCGAAAAGGCTGCGATGCAGCGTTCCTCCTTTATTCCCAATCGAACATGGCTGAAGAAGCGGTCACGTGCTCCTGCGTACACCAGTCACCTGGTCACCGTGCCTGCAGGGTACAACTTACTAGCCTGTTTGACCTTTTTTGGGTGCAGTCCTGTCACTCGAGTTGAACTCGAGTTGAACCTTGGTGTGAAAGTTGTCGCCTGCTGGCGTGGTGACCAGGTGATTTGGGCACCCTGGAGCACGTGACCGCTTCTTCAACCATGTTCGATTGGGAATAAGGGAGAAACGCTGCATCGCAGCCTTTTCGGACGAAAACCAGTCGACTGAGCGTCCAAAAGACTACAACATATGGGCCAATCGCGGTCATCCGTGCTTTTATAAGAACGAAATGGCGCTTTTAGTGACATTTTGCATACAAATCCCCATCTACTAGGGCGCAGTCACCCAGTTTCGGTGGAAGTGCGCGAGTTCGATTGGGATTCAAGTAGGAAGGGAGCGTCTCAGCTTCCTCGGACCACGACCATTCGACTCAGCACCCCGAAGACTACAACTGGTGAAATTTTGATTTTGCCTTAACTTCCCCTTTAATCACTTTCTTTCACCTCTGGTAGTTTCCAGAAACTGACCGTGGTTGGTCCCCTGGGGGAGGGAAAAAGACCCAAGTGCCATCAGTATGTGTGGCACGTGTTGTGGGCTGCCTTTGGAGTGAAAAACTTGTCAGCGCCTTCTGGATTCAGCCTGGTCCCATAGCTCAGTGGTTAGAGCATTGCTCATGACAAGCAGGGTCCCAGGTTCGAGTCCTGGTGGGTCTGGCGTTTTTTTCTCTTTTCAGGCAGTTCACTTCCCCGACTGATCCTTTGAATAATAATAATAATAATAATAATTCAGTTTCGTAATACGTATTCGCATGCAACGACGCAAATCCACACAATTCAGTAGACACTTTTTCTATCAAACGTTTTCTTTCCCTTCTCTTCAGGATAGTACAGGGAATGTTGGAAATTAGAAAAACACATAACTATAGAGAATGAAAGAAAGAAAAAGTCAACACTTCAACATAGGTGTTAAAAATGATTAAAGTGTTAAAAACTCAAAAACAAACAGCTGCAAGTTGTAGACAAACACGTTGAACACATCAGGGAACACTTGTCACACTTTCACGAGGTGTGACACCAAACAACTGCAACGATAACACATTCTCCTTCTGTACACATAGTTCTGGATCTAGTTTACGAATATACAGAGCTTCTAACACAGCAAGATGTAACTTAGACCTTCCACGAGTCAAAATCGAAAAGATATCATCACTATACAACTTACGACAACTAGCACTGCCCGACAAATGACGCTTGATGGACGATGTCCGATTACTTAGCTCTGTCACCTTCGACGCCTGCCGTTGTTCTCTTCCGTTAGGCTTGTTTGGTTGGTTGCTCCGGTCCACACCTCCAACGTCCGTTGATTTCATGTCCGTTTTTGTTGATTTCATGGCCGTTTTCGTGTCACTTCTTGGTCTTCCTCGTTTCCTCTTGTTGATCGTTGTTGTCACTTCCATTATCGACGTATTCAGATCCCCAGTACTCCGTCTCTTCACCTTGCTTCTGGTAACTCTTCCGTTGTCTATGAGCTCCAGTGTCACATTGGGTGGTTTTCGAGACGGTCTCCCTCGCTTCCTCACGCTTGTCTGAGATGGGCCAAGCTCCCCGCCCGTCGAAGCGGAGGCGAGCATGCGTACATCTACACTGGACGCAGACAAAGGCGTTCCAGTATCGGACTGCACAGCACATTTTGGAGGACGGCCACGACGAGGACGAGTACCACGAGCGTCAACAGGGACAAGACCTAACGGCACATGTTGACGGATGCGTGCGCCCAGGTGTTGAAGGGTTCTACCTACGTACCGATCTTCACATTCTCGGCACTGAAAAAAATAGATAAGGTTGCTTCTACTAAGGGTAGGTAGAACGTCCTTCTTCACACTGAACGCACGCGTCGTTCCAAATACTAAATACAATTTCACGCACGGGTAAGACGAACAGACAATGTTGCGCACCTCCTTCTCGACGCGCGCAGAACCAGCACCCACCCAGGGTAAGCGTAGTACCACGGGGCACCTGCCCGGTCCAAATGGTTTCGGATCCTGCGTGATTGGTTTGTTATTAATAAGTTTTGTTAGTAGTGACGAGGGGTATCCATTGTTTGTCAAAATTGATGTGAGCCGCCTCAGTTCTTCTTGAAGAAGGTGAGGAGAGCAGATTCGATGGGCACGATAGACTAGTGCTTTGACAAGGTGAACTTTGGATTTAGTTGGTGTGTAGCTTCCCCATGGAATATACAAGCCAGTAAAGGTGGGTTTTCTGTAAACCGTCATGTCTAAACTCTTGGTGTCGTTGTTGCGGGTAATATTGACATCTAAGAAGGATATCACACCGTCCCGTTCACCTTCTGCAGTGAATTTTAATGCAGGATGTAGTCCGTTTAGGGTTGTTAAAAAGTTCTCGCAGGTTTCTTGGTCCTCGTCGTGACAAAAAAACATCATCTACAAAACGGTAGTATACCGAGGGCCATAGCGATGGGGGAATGGATGACTCGCAAAATCCAACGAATATGTTTGCTAATACCGGACCAAGTGGAGATCCCATCGCAACTCCATCCAACTGTTTATACATGACATTGTCAAAGGAAAACTCAACACCAGAAGTGACCATTAACATCATTTTGACAAATTCGCTCTCATTCAAATCTGGTGGAGTCACGGACTTGTTATGGTACAACGCTGCTGCACAAATATCAATGGTTTCACGCAATGGAACATTGGTGAACAAACTGACGACATCGTACGAGCACATGTAACCACACGACTCAAACTTCGATTTCCTGATGTTATCTACGAACTCGAATGTGTCCTTGACGCAATGGTTATTGTAAAGGGCGAGCACAGTCTGCAGCATTGCGCACAACCACTTGGATATCTTAAATTGCGGAGAACCGGACATGCTTAGTATCGGTCGTAATGGTATATTCTTTTTGTGAATTTTCGGCAGGCCATACATCCGTGGCCGAGTGGATCCCGTTGGTGCTAGCCGGTCATGTTCATATTGAGTAATCTGATGAGATCTAGATAGAAACAGTAGGTATTTACTTAATTTCGTATCTATGTTTGCAGTGTGATCATAACCATCGCACGGGCCGAGTCTACAGAACTTAGTGGTGTCATTGAGTATGACCATCATCTTCGCTCTATACTCCACTGCCGACATAATCACCGTTGCCCGGCCCTTGTCAGGGCGAGATATCACGATTTCAGGGTTCTTCCTAAGTTCCTTGAGAACTTTTATATGTTCCCGCGTCAGTGAAAAGGATCGTGTATCTGGCGGAGACTGGGCAAACCGGAACGCCTCGGCAGCCAAGGAAGCTCGGCAGGTTGCCGCCGCCAACTCCGATTTCGCGGGAACAGTGGACAGCTGTTGTTGAAGAAGTTCAAATTCAGCCAAAATATCAGTCTGGTTGAATTTGGGAGGGATAC